ATAAACTCTCTAGGTCTATCCAATAGCTAAGAATATTATAAAATAACACGAGTCTTTTAAATGCCCAGTTTAAGGAGTAATACACAAAAACATATAAAATATCAGCATGAAACAATAATACACTTTATTCATTTACAAATAAATGTTTATGTACATCAATTTGATTGGAGCTAAGGACATACACTGTCTAACAAAATGGACATCTTGGTGATAGCACATGAAGGAGATACCCTAGAAGTTTTGGCAATGATATTTGTAGTTGTGGTTTTTATCCTTTGATTCTATTTATTTGTTGTGGATTGTATATATTAAATACATTAGATCACACTTGATGCTTGGCATAATATTACAACACAACAAACCCCATAATAACTAGGTGTCGCCTATATGTAGGCAAATTTTAGTTATTATGTTGCGCAACCATTAGGATCACATTATATGCAACCAAATTTATTTTATTGTGGATATTACATGGGCCAAATTCGGTCACAATTTGTTGTGGCATGTTTCTTATTTTTTGGGTTTATTGTGTTGGAATGTTAATTAGGTTGACCTACCTTTGTTTTTCTTCCAATTTATTAGTTTTGTGTGATGAAATGGTTGAATGTTGGTTCCACCACATGGCCATATGAGACTAGATGTTATTCTCATCATGGATTGATACACATGCTCTCCATGATATTATAAGAGCATTTGAATGATTTCCCTTGCTGAATTAGACCCATTGAATTCCCCTTCCACGAGGGATCCCTACGTTACAACCTTTCCCATTGACCAATTAGAAACTTGACTTTGTGAAAGTTAGTGGGAGTCTATATGGTTAATCAAAACTTAGACCAACTAGGGATTGGATCAAATTGAGTTTTCTTATTAAGAATATAAGTGTTTGAGATAAGGAATTGACTAATGAAATCATCTCTAAAGGCCTTCCATCAATAGAGTGAACGTGAGTTGATGTGACAAGTAAAGATGTCGGGACAGATAACCTTATCCAAGAGGAGGGGGGGGGTGAATTGGGTAGAGCTCTAAAAAATGATTGTCTTGGAATCCAATTTGAATTCTTAGACTCTTGACAATCAAGCTTAGGACAATTGAACCAAAGCCCTTTGCTAACAAATATGCCAATGAAAATTTAAAGGCTTGGTTAAGTAGGTTCGGTAGTTAATTAAAATAATACACTTAAATCAACCAAATTGTTGAAATAGTAAACCTACAGGTACAAAAGTAAACAAACAAGATAATAGTAAGAGTTGCAGAGGTTAGTAGTCAACAAGAAGATAGTAGCTAAAAGATAAATATTGCAATTAAGAATTGCAACCTACTATCTTGGTTACTGGTTCTATAGTTAATTAATAAATAATAAAAACAATAAATTTAAATAATTGTAGAAAAATAAAGTGTAGATGAAAGTAAATAAGCTCAAATGTGAATGGCACCTAGTGATATGTGCCTAAATAGCTAGAGAAAAAGGACAAACCACTAACAACTAGTAGAGAAATGGGCCTACTACACAAAGACAGCTGAGATATAGACCAACTATCCAAAATAAATAAAACTAATTATAGAAAAGTAAATGATGTTGGAATGTAAATGAACAATAAATATAAACAAGAGAACAATAAATGTAAAGTAGCTAGTAAAGTTAGTGCAGTTAGTAGAGTTAATGACGTTATAGCTCAAACAACACTAGTTGTTCTTGTATCTTGTAGATGTAAAAGAAAAAGAAACAAAATAAAATGTAAATCTGCAAGATCTCAAGATATTAAGTATTGTAATTGTGAAAAAGTTAAAACAAATAAAAATAAACCACAGACTTGAAAACAAAACAAAAGAACAAGGCAAACAAATACTTTTATAGAGGTTTGGCTAACCCTATCTATGCCCTTTACCTCAGATCACCATCGAGGATTTCCACTAGCCTTATCAACATCCTTTTACACTAGCAAGACTTTACGGGTGCCTACAATTCTTTAAGCAGTTGGACTTACATGGAATACCAACAGGGCTTTCGGGTGTGTGCAGTACCTTGTTGTTGGGCCTATGACAAGTTCCAACAAGACCTTGAATGGTGTTCAACAAGGGGAACACTACAAGCTAAAAAATTTTCACTAATCAACCACAAGAGCAGATTTTCAGCAAAGCAATATCTCAATAGAAAATATAAACAATTATAGCACAAATTAAATAGTTGCTAGAGTTCTTTACAAATGTTTAGCTTATGGAAGAAGATCCCAACAGATAGGTGAGAAACATGCTCAAAGGATTTTCAACAAAACTCACGTCCAACACTAATGAAGCACATGGATCTCTTCCTCCAAAATGACTCTAACCCTAACTTGCTCTCTACAAAACAACTATTTACAATATGTATAAAATATACATAGGTTGTTTTTCATCAAAGCTTACGTTTAGCTTCATTGTCTTTTCAATTAAGCTAAATACCTTTATTTATAGAGGATTTAAGAGCAAGTGAATGTTTTCTAGCCATTGGTGGTATTTCACCTTTTTTAAAAATTATTCAAATTTCCTCCAACATGTTAAAAGGCTTTCCAACAAGTCGACCAGTTCCACCTTTCAACCAAAATATGAAGGGAGGAATCTTTTTTCTTTTCAAGTCGACCGGTTCCTCCTTATTAGTCAACCAGTAAGCCTATATGCTCAGTCAATCTGAGTAGTTGACACATCTTCTCAAATTGGACATTTTGCATGTCTTGGCTGTAATAGCTAGTTGACACATGTATTTAAGGTAGTCAACTACTTCTCACAGTTTTGGCTATGAACGTTTTTAGCTGTCACAGTTAGTTGACACGTTTTTTGAGTAGTCGACTACTTTTTACAGTCAGGTCCAAATTGCTTGACAAACAACCTGAACACTTAGAAACATTTTCCCAAGAGGTTTGGAAACACATTTTTCCAAGAGGTCTGGTCCCCGTAAACTGACCTTTGAACCCCAAATCCTGGAATCGACATTGGTTGAGGATTGAGTTCACTTGTATCAACTTGTGCTTGTCAACTTCTATGGTTTGGTCCCAGTAAATATTAGAGTAGGAACACGGACTGCCATAAATTCCTATGATGGATTGATCGTATAAATACCGAACTCACTAGCTCTCTGAATTGCAAGCTTGGTCTCCTTTCTCTGAGCTATAGCAGGAGACCTCCGAATCTTCCCTACACATCTACTCCATGTTCCAATCTTTCAGGAACACTATCTTCTTAATATCACATTCATTTTTTTAGGAGATGGGTGCATATAAGATTTCGCAGTAGATGAACTGTCCGAGGGTCCCCCATCCCCTGATAGTTTTAAACCAAATGTCTCATTGGGTCAGGTGGGGCTGTTAAGGGGCAGCCACCCAAACCCCTAATATTAAATTCTCTTTTTAGTGAATGATTTCCAATAAAAAATGATTATATATTAGTCTTGGATTGCATCATTTTCTCATTTGAAACATATAATAGTGAAGTAGCAAGATTGAGTTTCACATAATCAAAGCATATAAAAAGTTTCAGTGAGTGCAAGGGCGTATCGTTTCATATTTTTGAAAAAACAGATATGTGATATATATGGAAATTGGGTGTCTCGTTTTTTTTGTGTATCGGACCATATCAGAGGTTTATTGGGGCGTATTGAAGGTATACTGGGGGTGTATTGGGGTATTTCGGTAGCGTATCGATGAAAAAGATACAACCAAAAACTAAAAAAAAAAAATAAAGGAGAAAGCAAGCTTCTTTTCCCTAAAATGAGCATTTTTTCACCCCCCAAATGACTCTAAAACTCCAAACCTCATTCCTATAGTGATAGATTTACAAAAATTTGCAAGAAACAAGTGTGAATCATTAATTTTTTAAGATTTTTCAAATTTTGAAAAAATGTCAAAAATAGGTAAGTTTTTTCAATATTTTATAATATCTTGTGATTTTTTTTCTTGAATGTTTAAATTTATATTGATTTACATTTCTTACAGTCAAAATCACATTTTTATTGTGTCATCAATAAATTTATGAAAATTTCATGAAGATATTTGGGGAAAATATAAATTAACAAAAAATTTGAAAAATGTAATTTTTCTCTATCTATAAAGACTAAATATGTTTTAGATCTATGGATTTATCTATCATATCCATAGAGCAGTTGGAAGTTTATTCTTTAATATATATATATATATATATATATATTATTTTAGAGTTAAAAAATAAATAATACTTAATTATATTTTATCATTTGATCACAATAGTTGAATATATTTAATTTTATGGATAATCTATCATATACACAGACCAATTGAAATTTCTTTCTTAATAATTATTTTTTTATTTTTATATTTTTAGAATTAAAAATAAATAAATAAATAATTATATTTTATCATTTGATCACAATGATTGAATATATTATAATTCAATGGATGATCTATCATATCCACAAAGCAATTGAAAATTTTTCTTTAATAACAATTTTTTGAATATATTATGTAATGTTTATTATTTTTTATAGTTTTTAGAAATAAATAATAAATAATTATTAATTATATTTTCACTTAAAAGTTGTGCCAATGCATGTTTTATGACTGGATAGGAGATTTGAGTTTCCCATCTCATAAAACATTAAAACTTAAGAATTATAATTTTTAAATTATTGTTAAGCATAGGATTTTTAATGAAATTATAATTAAGTAGAATATATTTCTTCATAAAACCATTAGAATATATTAATTTAATGTATATACACCTCATTGAGGTCTTATATTTAGTGTTATTGATGTATTTTTATTATTTATTAAAGTATTTATAGTGTTTTTAAGCGTATCTATGCATATATTATTTTTTCTCCGATACACATGATTATCCAAGGCATATCCCAATATGTTTCTTAAAATTGGCTTTCTGATACATTTGACATTTCCAATACTTTGAACTTTGAATAAGCATGATTGATGATAGAACTTGTAACAATGAGGTAGGGGCATTTTAGGAATGATCAACCTAAGATCTACCAAATATAATCTATTAAAATGTAACATTACTTATAAGAACTTATTGAAAAGAATTTCCTTAGTACAAATATTACAGTGCAAATACAAGGTTTAGAAATACCTATAATTTTCATTCTTGCAAACTGTGCCTAATTTACATTGCTTCAAGTGATTTACATGGTCATACTCACGCTTGGTCGCCTACTACATGCATTGGCAGTATATTATGATCCCATGGTGTGTCTCCTCTCGAGGCCTCGTTTTTCCCCAACAAGAAATTAGTACATTAGAAGCCAGTGTGATACCCCTCTCCCCAATAAAAAAATGAAATAAATAAATAAATATAAGAAAAATCACATAATAATAATACTCCACACCAGCTGCCAACAATGTGCCATGCCGTGTATCATTCCAGAGATCCAGGAAATATCAAGAGCATGACCACCAGAGCAAGAACCCAAATGTAACCAATGGTTATTCTACAGAAATTACCCAACAAATATCTGATAGCCCCATGAATCTTCTTTTAGTGAAACAAACAGAAACATCTTCCAGTTACCACATCAACCAGAGCGACGTTTTGGCTTCCTGCGTCTACCAAGTAGTTTTAACATGTTGTCCGTGACATCAGGTGGGGATTCATCATCATCATCATCCCTCCTGTCAGAAGTGTGTGTCAGCCAGGCCAATGCCTCTATAGCAGCATCCCTCTCTGCAAGCTGCTTGTTTTTCTTGGGCTTTCCCACAAACTGCATACCTTTGAACTCTACCAGGGCCCTGAACTCATTAGTCTTGAGATGCTTCGTTTTGTATTTTGGAGGGCTATGACCAGCCCTCATCAATAAAGTCTGAAGCAAGCTTTTTGGGTTGCTCCCATCCTTGGTATAACTGCTGTTATTTTGGCTGTTTTCGTTAGAGTCCCTGGCCTTCCTGTATTCACGACCAAAAATAAATCTACCTTCACATTGGTCTCCTGATACCAACTCCTGAACAGCAAGCATAAGGTACTTGCCTTCCTTGTGAATGTCAAGGCTTGGATTTTGCAGCTGCATCATAGCAAGGCAGGTAAAATTTAATGCTTCAAGTAGTGTCAATTATATATTTAGATGGATACTCCCGAGCCAAAGTAACACCTAATGTCAACACATTTTCTGTGGACACATATGCATTAAATGCTGACGCTACTAACTGCCGAGGTCATAAATAATTTGAGTTGATTATGCACATTCTGAAACAAGTAAAGAACACGTGGGGAAATAATCAGTTTTCCAATTCCTACAGAAATTTCAGAATGGCGATAATGTATTGGTATAGTTTTAGTTATTTATTTATTTTTTGGTTGTAGGTGTCTTATGAAAAGGGCTTTGTTTTTTCTAGAATTCATTTCTGTTTTAAAATTACTCTTTATGGTCATTTTTAGAGTAAGTATTTATAGTAAAATTGCAATTCCCCTAATAAGAATTTTAACTCAGTTGATCATTTTTAGTAATTCCCCTAATTATTGTTTTTAGTAAAATTGTAATTTAATAGTTTTGCTAATTTGACATTTCTTTACATTAAGTAGGTTTTGTAGGATTAGTGAATTGTTATTAGAGTTGCTTAGAAGTTAAGAGACCTTATTTGAGTATACTTATGAATTTGTCTTAGCTTTGAAGTAGTTAGTGTTAGAGTCAGCCGAGCAAGGTTATTTTAGTCTTTCTGCTCTTAATAAGTTGTGTTTCATCTTTTGTTTTACTTTTCAGTTACTTGTCCCATACTTAATAGGGACATAATAGTCTTTGTATTTTCCTTGCAAACATATATAAATATCAGATTGGCTGGGTGGGAGAATATTCTCTCCAATTCAGACTATTATTTCTTTTCTCTCTTCTCCTCCACTTCTTTCTTTCTTTTCCTTTTGACCTAGGACTGCAACTAGCAAGAACCAAACTAATAAAACATGGTATTAGAGCACTAAAAAGGAAAGAGAAGGCTGCAAATTCTACTTCTTGGAAGATTGCGATCAGTCCTTTTCTGTCTTTTTTTATCCTTTTTTAGGTTGCTACGTGAGACAGAGGTATAGGAGGCTATGACAACTCTATTTCAGTGAGCCTGTTGACTGCTTATGAGTGACAGCCCTAGTAGTTGTGTAGTGGTTTCATCAACAGGCTTTCAGTGAGCCTGTGCTGTGTGGTGGTTTAAGCCCTCTATTGAGAAGTTTCAAGAGGGTTTTCTCCATCAGTTGACGGTGTTAATGGTGAATGAGGCTGCGACTAAGGTTACTATGATGAAGAAAGTTGCTGAATGCATCTAGAGTACTGTTACACATGCTTTCCCTTGCTATGTGGACTGAAAGGTGCTGCTAGGTGGGCAAGTAAACTCTGTAATGCCTAGGTATTAGAACCTTTTACTTGTGACTGTTGGTTCTATGAGCTAGTAGTTGAATAACTGTGGTGGTTTTGGTAGTTTTTTGAGTGGACAGCATTATGGCAACCACAAGAGAAGGTAGTGGAAATAAAAAATCAAGTGTTATGAATCCCCTTGATTACTAAATGTGCAAATTATATCAATTAAACTAAATAGTGAAAATTATGTGCCATGGGTCAAGTTGATAGAGTTTTTTTCTTAGAGCCAAGGAGGCGAAGCGTGTGAAAGACAATAAACCCTTGGCTGAATCTCAAGGGTATAGTGAGTGAGAGCAAGAAGATGCACAAATTGTGATTTATGACATGGTTGTGGAATAGTATAGAACCCAAATTAAGTGTAAAGTTTATGTTTTTAAATACAGCCAAGGAGATATGGGATCATGTTAAGAAACTTTACTGCGGTCAAAACAACATTCCAAGAGCATATCAACTCTAGCAAGAATATTTCAAATTGCAACAGGGAAATCAGTGTCTTGAAGAGCACCATACTAGTATGAAAAATCTCAGAAACGAAATGTATACTATCCCTAACCTCGTATGTTAAAATTTAGCAACAACAAAGGGATCATCTTGATGTGACCAGATTCTTATTGGCCATGAAGTCAGAGTATGAGCTGGTTAGAGCACAAATATTGGGTGGTTCTGCTCTCCCCTCTCTTGCGGAGGCATTTGCTTGATTTTGTTAGATTTCTCCTGGACCTACATAAAATACTACTAGTTTTGATAGTGGAGTTCAAGTAGGCCATGGTGGTCTTATGTTTAGCCGTGGTAATGGAAATAGTGGAGGTCAGGATACAAGGGGAGGTTGTGGTAGAGGGCACAGTAATGGTCCTAGGAAACGCACATACTATGGTATGGAGGGCATACTATTAACCATTGTTTAGAAAACCGGACTGGACCAGCTGGTCAAACTGGTTAAACCATGACCTGGCCCTTTGGCCAGTTTGGTGACTTTGGTCAAACACTTGAAACCATAATTCATGAAAACCAGCCGGTTTAATTGGAAAACCAGTTAACAGGTCCCAGTTTTATGAAACCACCAGGGTTATAACATGAATTGAAACTTCAAAATGTTGATAACAAGACTTGAGCCTAAGACCTCTTATTTATGTGTATTATCTTGTTACCATTAAACAATTTCTTTATTTGCATTTATTTGTGTCTCTTTAATGTATTTATTGCTTTAGTACACAAGTATTCTGAAGAAAACGTGGGTTAAGAGGCTTGAACCCTAGTCATTTATTTTACAAACTTAAAAACAAACCACTTATCCACCACATGCAAGTGCAATAATGTTTGTGAAATATATTATGTGTATACTTATACGACCTGTAAAATATATATGTATATGCCATATCATTATGATTCAACCTCGGTTTGACTGTGACTGAACCTCTAACCCATGAAACTTGCCCTTTTCCAACTTTATGTCCATTTTGGTTCTTTGCACAATGATATTAACTTTTGTTATGATCTACATGGCCCACCTTCTACATGGGCCAACCATGTTGTGACTAGTGTTGGTGAAGTAGGAAATAGTCAGGAAGCTGATCAAACACCTTGAAAATCTACAATTTCTAAGGAGATGATGAGTGTTCCACATAATGAATATAGTAGGTTCCTCAAGACTACCTCAAACTGCCATTTGTGGTGGCTTGTCCGACATCCAAACCTTCCCTTTCCCAATCCTCCACATCACAAAATATTACCCTAGCCAATGGTTCTACCTCTCCCACTTGTGGTGTGGGTAATGTTACTTGCACCTCTAATCTTTATCATCTATTTTTTATGTACCTAAATTTCCATTTAACCATATGTCTATTCAAAGATTGACCAAGTCTCTTAATAGTTTTATCACCTTTTACCCTTCTTTTGTTTTTTCAAGATCTGAAGACAAGGATGAAGATTGGTGGAGGGCATGAAACTAGTGGATTGTATTATCTTGATGGTGGTGGCACGAAAGTAGCACTTCAATCCTCCCTTTCCTCTCTAGTGGTGTCATGGAGTGAATTCGTTTTAATGACACATCATCACCGCATAGATGATTATGCTAGCATCTTGTTTGGTAGGTTGATCAGGTATAAATGTTTGACTAATTCTTATCTTGGATTATGTGAAACACACTTTCAAAGGAGACATTGCTTCGGCGTTTCTATTGTTGAATTGCACTTTGTGCCTACAAAGCGCAACATATTGTTCCCGATTTTTAATGCATAAGTGCAATAGACACACAACACCACAATACCAACCATCAACCTTATTGCTTTCCCTCTTTGTGGACCATAGCATTTGGAGTTTCATCATCAGATGTGCACATTCACAACCATAAGGAAGAAACAAAAAAGAACTAACGGGAAAGACATAATAGGAGAAAGGGGTTATAAGGCATTGAAAGGGTTAGCATGAGAGGAAGAGTTCTATGTGGGGATGGACAAGTGGATATTTCCCATCATATATTTATTAATAATTTTTCTATTCATCAATTTTGTTCATTTTCTTTTGACGTTTTTGTATATATAGAAATGAAGGGACGTCTCTTTTGTGTTGGTGGATTTTAATGGGAGGATTAATTAGGTGGCATGTATGGGTGATTTTTAGGATGATGCTTGATGTACTACAACATGAACCATTTCAATTAAGGTTTCTTTTTCAAAATACATTTTGCCCCTAAAAGATTTTGAGATGAAAGAGCAAATTCTGTCCGATAAAAATTCCAGAAAGTTAGACCCCATTCACACTTTTATTAGTACTAGTAAACATGTAAGTGCATTTGCACGTTGCAGTATCTCTAAGACAAAACTATTTATAATTCATGGACAGTTTTTGGTCAGTTATAAGTTGGCAGTTTCTGGAGAGTTATAAGTGAACAGTTTCTGGACAGTTACAAATGGGCAGTTTCTAAAATGAGAGTAAAGGACATATATGCCCTCTTTATGCCCATTGTATATTTAGACAAGAGAGATAGAAAACGTCCAATGAAAAATCCAGAATTAAGGAACATTCACTCTTTTATAAGTAGTATAGATAAATGAGTGTTCCCAAACTTGGAGTGATGCTATACTTACAACTTCTGTTCTCATTAGTTGGACACTCACATTCATTCTTGATGGTCATTCTTGGTATGGCCGGGTAGTCTCTAAACAAAGTAAGTCTCAAAGAGTACAACTGACAACAACAAGAATGGTATTGCAACATCTATGAAATTGATGCAACAAGTTACACTATCCTCTTGGTTTTGCAACTCATCAAGGTAGTGGCATTAGCCTCTACACACATAGAGAACAGTAAGGATTTTAGGGTCTCTCTGGCTCGAAAACAAAACCAACAAGAGAGAAGGGATAAATGCTCGAAGGCTAAACTCTTTACTCTATCACACAATTACATGTGTGAGCTTACCACTCTCTCTCCCAGTAAACATGATGTAGGGTGCAAGTGGGTGTACACTATTAAATATTTACCAGATGGTAGAGTGAAGCATTTGAAAGCTTGATTGATTGCTAATAGTTGTATGGAGTGGACTGTATAAAAAACTTATCTCTTATTGCCGAAATTGGTTCAATTCATGTTTTGATATCGGTAGTAGCTATATATGGCTGGCTACTATTTTAGCTTCACATAGAAATGCCTTCTTACATGATGATCTTATTAAGTCTATATGGAACAACCACCAAGGTTTATTGCTCAGGGGGAGGATTAAAAGTGTATATGTTAAAGAAGACAATTTATGGGCTGAAACAATCTTTGCATGCTTGGTTTGGCATTAGATTTTGGTATGACATAGTATTAGGTTGATTGTTCAATATTTAACTATGAATCTGAAACTAAAAATATTTTGTTGGTAGTATATGTAGACGACATTATTAAAACCGGTAGTGACAAGTTGAGGATTGACAAATTTAAAGGCCTTTCCACAATATCAGTTTCAAACAAAAGATCTTGACAAGTTGAAGTATTTATTAGGTATTGAAGTAGTGAGGTCGAAGCATAGCATCAATTTGTGTCAAAGGAAGTATGTTCTTGACTTATTAGAAGAGAGAGGGCTATTAGGTGCCAAATCAACTAAAACACCCACGAAACCGAATGTTAAATTTACCATTGATGTAGGTGAACAATCTGACGACCCTAGAAGGTATAGAAGGTTAGTGGATAGGTTAAGGTATCTAACATTTACCCGACTGAATATCTTTTTTTTTTGATCAATTTACCCAACTGGATATCTCCTTTATAGTTAGCGTAGTTATCCAGTTTATGCAGAATCCACAGGTTCTTCATTGGGATGCAGTCCTCAGAATTGTGTGGTACTTGAAGGGAGCACTAGGTGGTGAGTTTTTGTACAAGTTAGGAAGGAGTCTTGAAAGGAAGGTTGGATCGATGTAGATTGAGTCCACTTAGTATTTGATAGAAGATCCACCATAGAGTATTGTACCTTCCTTGGAGGAAATTTATTGACATGGAAGAGTAAGAAGCAGACAATTGTAGAAAGAAGTAGTGCTGAACTGATTATAGAGCCATGACACATACTGCATGTGAGTTAGTGTGGTTGAAAAACCTCTGATAGGAGATAGGGTACTTGGTGAATAGTCTTATGAGATTGTATTGTGACAATCAAACCATGATCCACATTCATCTAATCCTGTCTTTCATGAGAGGACAAAGTACATAGAGGTTGTTTGTCGCTTTATAAGGGAAAAGGTCCTTGGTGAAGTGATAAGCACAAAACATGTGAGCTTGGGAAATTAGTGGGCAAGTTTGTTTACAAATGGGTTGAGTCGAGTAAGAGTGGATTGCATATGTGACAAGCCGGGACTATATGACATATACTCTATCTTGAGGAAGAGTGTTAGAGTCAGCATATCGGGGTTATTTTAGTCTTTTTATTCTTATTTATTAAGTTTTGTTGTCTCTTTTTCTCTCTAGTTCAGGCTGTTATTTCTTTTCTCTATTTTTCTCCTCTTTTTTATCTATTTTCCTTTTGACCTAGGATTGCAGCTAGAAAAAAATGGACTAAGCCCTTGAACTGAATCTATATATAGTGATTGTAATTGAAATTTTAGAGTTCATATAATGGAATAAAAAATTTGTTTTGAAGTTACTTGTGAGTAAGAGTGATTTTCCTTTTTCTCTCTTTCTATATTTTATTCCTAAAGGTGCAATATTTTTTCTCTTTCTTCCCCTTGTCTTCTTTATTCAGGTCCCTGGTCCATCTTATTTTCCCACCATGTTTACACCAGTAGCACTTCTCTTATCCTTGCTACATTAATTTCATATTACAATGGAGCCTCAAAGTTTGTTAGTCATGGAGAACAATGAATTCTTGATAAGCTTCCTATGTTCACTACAAGAATATGAAGCTCAATTTAGAAGGTTTTGTAAATTATATACTTCACTTTGTGTCATATTTTCATATGGTTTCATAAAAAGTAGTTTTCAAATGATAAAAATGGACTTTCCATCCTCTAGCCTAGTAGGCATAGGTTTACCTTCATCAAAAGGCTGATTCATTTAGATCGGCATGAGGGTCAATCTACATTGCATTGCCAGATCCATGATGTATGTTTGAAACAGGTTGACCACCTTACTTCTCTCATGGTACAATCTTCTTCCTTCTGAGCCTTCCTTTCGTTTCAATCCATGGAGAGAGTACCAAGCCTTTATTTATTTACTTTTGGTTGTATAGAATTTCAGTCTTTAGAGAAAGTAATGAAGATCTAATGCAATTTAGTTATATTTGATTTAGATTTAACTGCAATGAAGCATAAAATTAAGATTTTCCATTTTTCTTGGACTTGGTTGAAACATTGTTGGAAACTCATGTGAAACAAGTGTGCACTATAAACTAAATGAGTTTCAACTCACCTTCCTGTAGATAAGCTTATCAAGTTCATCCTTAAGGTTCCAATAACAATCTGCCAAACTAGGATCCATGAAGAAATCAATATAGCCATCCAGCATTTTCAAATGTCCAGCCTGAAATACAAGGTCCAGTTAGTCCCAAAGTTACACCAGTTCAATTCATTCCACACACACAAGCACAAATAAAAAAAGGAGAAATGTTCACCAGCATAAGAAATTACCATAATGCCCCGGTTAAGAGTACCACCAAAAAGTATCACTATTGAGTCAGACACACCAGTGGAATCTCGTATAAAGACAGTATTGACCCTAACTTTCTCACCAAATACCAGCCATGGGTATGTGATTGTCTGATAGCGTGCATTCACAGAATTCTGGTGTAGATTTCATGCTCCATGTCAGTTAATAAAATAACAAGAATATTAAGATTAAGAATACGATGTTACCAACAAATAGTGAAAAAATCAGAACAAATTTATAGAACAGGAAATGTTGATGCAATTTCATGCTATTTGCCATATAAATAGGACCAACTACTCCATATGATCTTGCACAGTTCTTATACAACAGATGATCCATTGATTTAGACTGTCAGCATTGAGTACAACATTGCATTAGAGATTGCCCTGTAGGACCTTGTTAGTGGGTTAGTGGATTGTTTTTTTATTTCCTAGTTTTGTTTATTCTTTAGTTATGGGCCTGATATTATGGGCAACGCCTCTTTTTAATTGTTATTAAGTGTTATAACTGCTGCTGCCTTATTAGGTGTAGATCTGTAATTTTACAATTTATTACTAAAAATATAAAAGATGGTGTCTCAATTGAGCCCTGCGATCTGTTACCCTCCATTCCACTTCTCTCTCTTCTTGCTTATTTTCTTCTACTGAAACTTCTTGGTATCAGAGCCTAGTTTCAATCAAGGCACACCATCTCATGCAGTCTTAGTCTAGCTGGCTACATGAGATAGTCAGAGAGCTAGAGCAATTAAAGTCTTGTGGTCTGGTTTGGTTGCTTTTGTAGAATTGTTGTTGTTGACCAAGTGTTTGGATTGGAGAAAGTCCTGAAAGTCAAGAAAAAACAAGAGAATCAAGTCAGATTGTGGTTTTCAGAGTGTTCAATTTTGGGTCAAATACCTAGTCTGGTTGTGGTTTTCAGAGATTGTTATTTGAATATAATAGAGATCAACTGCTGCTGTTGTCATTTTGGGAAGCCTAGAGAGATTGACAGCTTGTTTTTTCTCTCTCTTGGGATCTTGGAAGTGGTCCCGTGATAGGAGGTTGCATTTGGGTCTATTTTATTTGGCCAGACTTCTGTTGTTGAGATTTATTTGAGTCTAATTGAGAGATTGAGCAGTGGTTGGACACTTGGACTGATTCCATTTCTCCTAGAGAGATTGATTTCTACCTTTCCTTTCTTTCCAGCCTGGTGATAGCTTTGAGATAAGCTGAATTAGTTGGCTGTATCTGTGCTCTTTCTTTGATATTGGCTGTTGTTAATCTATTAGAAATTAAGAATAATATTGTATTTGTAATAAATGGAGACATTTGGTGAGGACCATAAGCAAGGAATTGATACCTATGGTAACCCAGGAACAATGGGTAAGCTCTTTGCTTCTCAAATAACCAGTGTTAGGTTTAACATAAGCAATTATCTCCACTGGTCATAGGCTAATTGTCAATGCAGTTCGAACAAGTGACAATGAACATATTTGAGGTGTCTCTAATAAGTAGGGGTGTTCACATTAAATGTCATACCAACCAAACTGGCCTGACCCAACCCGAGTTGGTCGGTTTTTCAAAACCACTGGTTGGTTTCGGTTTGTGTGAGAAAATAAACCGGCAATTTGGTTCAGTTAAATGAACCGAACCGGTCCTGTATGTTTAAGTAATTATTAATTAGTTGCTACCCTGTATATTAAATGTTGATATATTTTATTTGTGTCTTGTTTGAACTTTGAAAAAAAATTGGTTATTTATGATAAAAACTAAAAACGTAAATACAAATATAATACAATGGTACAATATATATATATATAAACTGAACCTTCATGTTTGCTGAGGAAGAAGAATCTCATTTTTCTTTCCCCTTATCTTTTCTTACCTTCCCTTTCCTTTCCTTTTATTTCTTTCTCTTTCTTTTTTTTTTTCTTTTTTTGTCTTTTTACATGAGGTGTACAAGAGGCACATGAGGCGTACACCTCTAGCACACCATATGAAAAAAGTGTATGAGCTCAGAGGTGTCAGAGCCTCTGGCGTATGCCTCAGGGCATTTTGGGGGCACCTCGCCTGAAGGCGTGCTCCAGAAGTACGCCTTCTAAAACACTACATGTATATGCAACTGGAAATTACTGCTCACTGAACCTAAACCATAATTCTCTAATCTAATTAAATGTTGGCTCATATGGACTTACTGCATAGAGTAAAACTTGACCATCATCCATCGTTTTGAAAGACATTGAAGACTCTCTGTGCTGCAAAAGAAACGAAAAAAGTTGCTCATATGTCATCTGAAGTAAGAACTTATACGATTAAATGTCAAAAGAATCAAATGAATTACCAAATAATCCCTTACCAGAACTGATGCTATACCAGGAAATAAGCCAGAACAGATGATAGCACGAACCAATGACTGATTGTGGCTCAAACTATTATTTGTTCTAGCATCTGGAGCTAATAAACCAGCATCTTTTAGAATAAAGCTAAATTGCTTCCGGAGAGAGTGAATAGCCTGAAGAGTTTGTGCTGAAAGAAAATTCCTATAGCAATACTCGTATGCAGATCCTTCCCTTTCTGCATCTTTCCAACCTTCATATGCACGGACAAGTGCCATATGATCACTGTAGTCCTTTGCAGAAAATCTTGATTTTGCCGTTCCTGCTAACTGAACAAAAGCAACAGAAGAACAATACTCCTTAATGGGGGCCCTGAAAGTAATCTATCATATGCTTACAAGCACTGGGACAAATGCAGGGAGAAGGAACAACTATCATCATCCAATCTATCCATTCTTTTTGACAGTCACAAAGAGAACAATCCATGAAGTGATGTTTAGATCACACGGTAAGGATGGTAGCAGAGTGCTATAATCAACATAACAAATGTTCAGGCACAACCAAATATAGTTATGAAGGTGCTAAGGCAAATCTAGTCAACAAGGAAGCACCCCATCCTGCACTCACCTAGGCACCCGCCTAGTTTTTTCTAGGCAATGGCTTTCAGGAAAAAAAAAAAGAAATACATGGCTTTTCCTACTTGAAGTAGCAATTACATTAACTAACAATTGATTAAGACCAAATTAAAAAGAAAATAGCAGGATAATAAACAAATAAAGGCGTAACAAAAAGTTAATATCAAATGGAAAAATAAAGTAAACCTAACAGACAGACGGAGAACTTATCATAGATCTGGAAAAGCACAAATAATCATGAACTCATTTGGATCTGATGTAATGAAAAAAACGCTTGAGCCCTTATTCAGCTCTATGTTAGAAAGATGCAAAGAAGTGGGACTTTCTTATCTACTAAGAATGTATCTTTATAGGGTTACTTCGATATCTACTAACAATGTTTGCTGCCATTGTCAAGTGTTAACTAGCTCCCAATGAGTCAATGGACGGTCAAACTGATTACATCATTACTTAGTCGATGAATGCTTTTAATGCAGCTGCCTAGGTCGGCTACATGAATACTGTCTCACTATTCTGATCTGTTTTATGCCATATCCATTGCTAAATTATGAGCACTTAAATCATTTCTTACTGAATCGACTCACATGACGTCCTTTTTGATCTACCCCAGCCTTTCCAGCCCCTTAACTTGCAGAAGATCACTTCTTACAGGTGCTGTCAATGGTCTTAGTAGACGTTCAAGACTTCTATCAGCCTTGAACCCTAATAGATTTCAGGTTCGAAAATAGAAGAAAAAGTATAGAGAAGAGAGGAGAAAGAGAAGAGAGAGCAGTAGAACACAAGGGTTGAAATGAGGGACAGAATCTTAATGTTCTGCCGCCGCCACTTCTATTTAGTATTTATAGGTTATGCTAATTACATGGAAAGGACAGATCTGCCCTTAGTATTTACATAACAAATAGAACACAATAAAACTGAAATAAATAACAACTGAAATAACAAATTGACCACCAGATAATCCTAGGACGACTAGAACACATTCTACCCTACGAACACAGTGGGACCATAGCTGTGGGGCCCACATCAGTGTAGCTCCCCCTCAAGTTTATCATTCCCAACTTGGATAGATCCACCTCTAGCTTCTTCCTTGGTATGGCTTTGGTGAGGATATCTGCTAGCTGCATGTTAGATGTGATGTACGGGAGACACACTTCTTGTGATGAGACCCTCTCTCGTACCAAATGTCGATCAACTTCAATATGTTTAGTTCTGTCATGCTACACCGGATTGTGTGCTATATTAATAGCCGCTTGATTATCACAATACAGCATCAGGGGCTTCTCATACTCAATACCCAATTCCTCAAGTAGTGATCTCAGCCATAGAATTTCATCCACTCCATTAGCCATTGACCTGTATTCAGCTTCAGCACTAGATCGAGAGACAACACTCTGTTTTTTACTCCTCCAAGAGACAAGGTTACCTCCCACAAGTGCACAACATCCAGAGGTAGACCTTCTGTCATCAACACTCAATCGGCATCCATATAGACGTCCACCTTCATGTGGTTATTGTTCTTGAACAGTATACCTCTACCTGGGCATCTCTTCAAGTATGCTAATATTCTTTCTACTGCAAGAAGATGTGTGGTTCTAGGAGAATGCATGTACTGGCTGACAACACTAACTGCATAACTGATGGCCGAGTGAGGTAGAGATATAGGAGCTTTCCCACTAATCGCTGGAACATAACCTTGTCTTCAAGAGGCTCCCCACTCTCTGCACTAATCCTGTGGCTCTGTTCAATGGGTGTATCCGCAGGCTTGACACCTAACTTTCCAGTTTCCGCCAACAAATTTAGAACATATTTCCTCTGAGAGACAAAGATCCCCTGTTTAGATGTAGCAACCTCAATACTCAAAAAATACCGAAGTGCACCAAGATCTTTCACCTCAAACTCTTGATGAAGGAGCTGTTTGAGGGACTCAATCTCATGGCTATCATTTCCTGTCACCACAATATCATCAACATATAGTGCAAGTAGTGTCAGAGAGGACTCCACCCTCTTGATGAATAGGGTATGATCTGACTGGGCCTGTACATAACCAAACTTCCCAA